TTTGGGGCCTGATTTTTGATTTCGTAAAAGATAATCCCTGACCTATGAATTTTTCCTTTTGGCAAAATTTTTTTTGGAAACCGGCCCGACTTCATTGGCCGATTCAATCAAAAAATTTCAGAATCAATTTGAAAATCTATTCCGTGAAATCTCTGGAAGTTAGCAAACTCTCAAAAGAAGTAAAGAATTAGTCGGTTTCACTCACTTTTTTGGGAGTAAAAATTTAGTATGAGCAATTTAATTAGGTTAATGTAGTAGGACTTGAAAATTTTAAAATCATAGAGTAAAGTGTAACGACATTACAAAACATGAATTCGAAATAATGGAATGAATTTTTTAAAAAAGAATCCAAATGCTAGAAAAATAGACAATTGGGAAATATAGGGGAAATTTATAAAATAACAAATCTACTCAAAATCTTGTAATAATTTAATAGTTGAATTCTAAATATATTCTCCTTTTTAAATGGAAATCATTTAAATTCTCCAATAAAAGAATTCCCTTATTTAAATTAGGAAGGTACTTGATTTCTAGAGATGGCAAAAAAAAATTGTTCAACTCGATGCCGCAGACCTCGCCATGAATGGGGCAAGAATTACTCGTCTAACCAGGTAAATGGGGCAGGGGTCGTTGCCCCGAAGTCGGTACATGATGGGTACAAGAGTCATAGCAACCGCCCTATCACTTGTCTCATTTAAGTTAATTTTAAATTTAAGTTTTTTATCAAATAAAAATAAAAGATTTGTCATCATTTTTAAAGGAAACATGAGTTATTTTTAATAAATTTAAAACAAAAGTAATAATATCTGTTAAATAAAGACATAAAAAAATCAAAAAATAAAATAGATAAAAAATGAAAAAAGAGGCTAATAAACGAGGCAGGGGACTTGCCCAGCCCTACCCTGTCCCAATCTCGCGCTCGTCCCGCTTTAATTGGGTATGGAACGAGGTAAGGTGACAAAAATGTCCGACGAGACGATGGAATAAGAATGATTGACATGCTCCGTTGGCATCCCTATCAACTAAATTATAAGATTCAAATCATTATTACGAATTAATTAATTAAATAGAGTTTACTTTGCTGCACAATGT